CACTGGACTCCATTAATACTTACTTGGAGATAAGTGAACTGATCTCACCACCAGAAACTCCACATGCCTGTACGGATGATCATGATAAGTAATACTGAGAGACCAGGGTATGTGTAATACCAATACCTACATAAAGAGAGGACATTTATGAGTGAGCCGCTATGTGGAAGAGATGCATGGCTCGCGAAGACCTGCAGCGATATTATGGAATCCTAGCGACTTAACTATCTGGGAGAGGACGCCAGAGAGCCTAGAACAGACACCACCAATCAGACCAATGACAGAAAGAGGAATTTCGGTGGGTGGATGATAAGACCTACGACCTGCAACACAACTCCATAACCAACAAGAACCCAAAGCTGGAGCTAGAGGAGTTCACTAGTATAGAACTAATGAAGCCATACAATGATGAAAGTTTACTGACTCCTAGAATAAGAATCCAATTCCGGAACTACCAAATACCAGTGGAAAGTCTCAGATCAGTTGATACAGAAAAGAAAAGAATCTCCAGATTGAATCCTACTAATAAACTTCAGCCAGATAAGCCAGGAACAGAGAAAGAAGCCAAGCCTAAGAGAATGTGGGAATTGAATGTGAAGAACCTAATGTTAGGTCATAGGTTACCAGAAGGGAAAGAAGCACATCAAGGGTTTGGACACTATTTGAAGACATAATAGAATTTCCCCAGGCCATTGCTAAATTCAACTTACAAGTTCAGAAGCTCCAGAGGTCCCTGGGAGATTTCAATGAAACCATGTGAGACATCCAAACATGCCAGTCCATCAGACTGACCATATCACTAAAAAGAGCCTTTCTAAGAGCTGGTAAGATGGAAAGAAGAGTGAGAACAAGGAGCCAATTCCGATACAGCTTCTCTTATGAGACTTTACAAGCCAAGGAGAGACTGGGGCTTCTCACTCCTTCCTGAACAACCAATGCCCAGCCTAGATCTTCATTCCTGCAAGTAAAGCTTCGTAATTATGAAGGAGAATAAAAGACATTCTCAGACAAAGCCAAAGTCTCCAGAGAATTCACCAAGAAGCGGCCTAAGAAGTACTCCAGTGTTATGCCGACACCATATGAACTCTAAATATAAAACCAACCAAGATTAAGGCAGATAAATACAAATGGCTCAAAGAGAGATCAAAGCAACAATCAACCAACAGAGGACGTAAATCTATTACCTATCCAGTTCTCTCCAATGGTGAATGGCTTAACCTCCTCCACTCAAGACATAGACTGGAGAATGGATAAAAAAAATAACAGGCCTAGTTATGCCCTGTGTTCAGGACTCTAACCTGCAAGGATGCATAAGACTAAAGTTAAAAGGGTGGGATCCAGTATTCAGGCAAAGGGGAGACCAAGGAAGCTGGCGGGCAGTTCTTTATATTTTCAGATCGAATTTAGTTTTTAATCCCAGTAGTGAAAAGACAAAAAGAGGGGTCAGCCACTTATGTCTCTACTATCATTAATGGTGAAAGGCAATCGAAATCAGCAAGAAAAAGATAACAAGAATTATAAATTGTCAACTAATTATATATGCACGCCACTTAGGTGAACCAGTTCATAAAAGCAACCTTACTGATTAAAGCCATAATGGATTAATAAGCCCTCATAATCACTGAGATTCCAACCCACTGACATCTTATTTTTTTTTTTTTTTATTGATACACAGTATTTGTATACTATTACTCTTACTAAAGAAATAAGCATGCAAACTAGGTTGATACATAGAATCACATGGTGGAAATAACGTTAACTGGAAAAAGTAGAACACTAATTAGAATGTACACATTAATAAAAGCAACATAAAATACATGTATATCCATTAGCAATAATTTAAAAATAACTTGGGAACTTGAAACTTCAATGCTTAAGTTACTTTTTCTATTAATTTGTATTTTGAAGATTATATTACATTGTCACTAATTTTCTCAAAACCCTATATTATTTTAAGTGTCTGGTTTACATTGCTAATAAGTGAAGGCATTTTTAAAAACATTTGAGAAAATACAACTGTGACATCTCATCATCAAAGAAAATCTCCTTAAATGATTCATGGTCCCTGAAATCATTAACCTTTGAAAAGAAAAATAATTTAATAGTTGTTTCTACTGTTTACTTGACCAACTGCATTAACTTTGTCACACATTTTAGAGTTAATATTGACTCTCCTTAATAAGGAAACATCTATAAAAGCATTAGGAAAATCCAATGACTAACCAAAGCTATTATGTGCTTATAATTTTAACGTTTATCAGTACATTTTTAATCCACTGATAAAAGTCAGGAAGGAAATATTAATGGATCATTGCTTATTTTATACCTTTATCCTAGCACGGAATGAATCTGGTATTCATCCTCATACAATGACCTGACCTTGAGTTTTTTGCTGACGTCAAGAATGTAACAACTATAGCGGGAAGGTCTACCGTATACCCTAAAGGAAGAGAGAAGGAAGATCACTTTCTTCTCTCAGGTCACTGAATCCTTTTTAGGGTTTATAAAGTGAGGAATGAATACAGGTTGTGAGGCCTTCTTAGAGCCATGACTTCTGTGTTCAGTAGAAAAAGACTTTCTGTTTCCTCTTGTAGTCATGACTGCACTAGGTTACAAGAAGCTGTGTGTCTCTGTATATTCCGTACCTCTTTATCTCAAAATCTATTTGATGTTATCTTCTGTGTCATCTATTCCAATTATTTTTTGGCATATACAGTCTACACAGTACTGGGTATGAAACAGTTAGATGAGTATGTCCTTGACCTAGCAGGGCTGGGAATCATTACGCATCCAGAGGTGTCATGGCATTATGAAATGGAGGTATCAAGTTTTTTTTTTTTTTTCCATCTTGGATTCAAATCAAAAAGTGGCTTTCCTACCTAAGCAAGAGAAATATGACCCTTCCCATTGCCCAAGAGCAGAGACAACAGCTGGCAGAAGGAACACACACAGGGACAGATGGCTTATACTAGAGAGACATCTCCAGAGCCAGTGGACATAGGCCATTTCTGGATTACCATTTTCCATCTCTAGCCTATATGGGGATCAGAAATACTTAGCTGCCCAAGGCAAACGCAGCTGTAACTAGAGATGTCTGAGAAAGACAGCAGTGAGGGCCAAACGGAGTAACTTTAATACCACGGATACACATCAATCTCATAGGTCACTAAAGTCACTCTAGAAAGAACACACCAACCATGTTTTTAAGGTGTCCTCAGCTTTAGCTTTCAAATATCAACTGCGGAGAAAAAAGATTTTAAGATAAAATCTTGGTGACAGAGATAGTGCCTAAATAATCTCTTCTGGCTCACATGCTCTGCTTCATTTCTGGGATTTGAAATTACAAAGATTATAATCACCCAAACCTAAGCATAGCTTAGTTTGCTCATGTAAACTTAAACTTGTTCATGTAAGGTCACAAAGAAGCTAAAGTCACAAACCAAGACTTAACCAATTAAAATAATTTTTCTATTAAATTAGTTGGGTCATACATAAATCATACAGGGGGACAGATGGAAGGGAGGACAGTAAGTATGCACATTAATTATTGATTCTGTATGTGACTAAAATATTCCAAATGAGATTAATTTCATGAAAGTAATAGACTCCTTTCAAATAATTTTTATGACCAGTTTCAAGAATACCTTTCATTTAGGAAGTGGTTCATAGGGTCTCATCACCTCAAAGTAGTTATATCAATATAACTACTTTGAATTAATAAGCAAATGTTACCTAAAAATGTTCCTTAAATTCTATAATTTTTTCCTTAAATCCTATGCATTTTTTCAATGCATTTGTTTTATGAGTATATTTTTAACATTGAATTTTTATTAACTGCTCAGTCAACCAAATTTCTACTATACATTTGAATTAATTATTGCACACACAAATATTTCAGTGAAAATGATAAAAAAAATAATTTGAATATGTAAAGGAAACCATGATAGATAGTTGAAATACTTTTCTAAAAATATCATGGTAGAAAAAGTTTTATAAGGAAAGATATTTTTATTTTTTAAAAAATAAATTGTACACTCTTGCCACAAATACAACAGTAATGGCTTGATACTTTGCTTGAATTGCCTTTGAAAAAAAAGCCACAATTATTTTTATAGTAACTTGCAATTAATATCAAAGAATAGAATTCTTTTAAATTTTGCCTATCATTGACTCAAGAAAGTTTGGAGAACATCTGTCTTAGAACCGGAAAAAAAGTAGCTTTATAAATGCCATAGTGGCCAGTTAGAAGTATTATATATACATAGTAAATAGAAGTTATACTCAAAAGAAATTAAAGATCAGAAAAGTAAGGGGCTATAAAACTAATGCAATCACTTTTCTGAGTGGACATATGACCAAAATCTCCTGACATATTTGGGGTTAAAGGAGTTTTTCTTTTTAATGGCAAAAACAATTATGTGCATTTTGGAGTTAATAAAGGAAACACAATTTTACATATTAGACCCTTTATTCTGTTACAGCCATGATAGTTCTTATATTTTCTTATTAAAATCTACTAAAAACTTTCTATTCACCATGTGTTACTTTTATAACTATGAAAAAATCAATAAAGTGATTTCTATTTTGAAAAAGAAACATTACAGCTGGACATTTTACTTTACCCACAGGAGAGAAAAAGTATCTCATGCATTTCTATTATGCTCACAAGTACCTTGGGAAGATCTACTATACTTCATTATTTCCTAAGTTGGAGGCTGGAAAAATTCTGATTAAGCAGAAGTAAAACCAAATGCTAAAAATTATCAACGTCTGTTAAGTAACAGCAGTGTCCTGAGATTTTTTTGGATGAATATAACTTTAAATGAAATGTTCTATACCAAAAGTGCTTTTTATATCACCAGGTTTCTGCCTCAAAAACAAAAAACCCAAAAAACAAGAAAGGATGAAGGAAATGCAAACAACAGAGCATGGAAAACAAGAGCATGAAGAGCCATGCTAAAGGTTTCACAGGGTAGGCCTGAAGAGCAGATATAGTTTACCTTGATTTTTGGAGGTGGTTTGGGCATGTCTCTTTCTAAGCCCTTTGTTAAAATGATGGGTAGAGAGTTCTTACAACTGGCCTCCTATAAAAGAAGTATAAAAGAAACATTAGAGATTAAGGAACATTTACCCTTTCCAGAAATAATCACAAGGTAGTAAAAAGCAATTTTTAAGGGAGACAAGGCATTTCTGGATTGAGCTGATCACATCAGAAGCCGGTGAGACCAAAGCGAGGAGTCAAAACTTTTCTTCTCTTATGTGTCACACACAACAGTAAAGTAGGATAAGGCAGTGATGGAGGAGTTGCAGGGCACACAGGACATCTATGTTCAGAGATGAGCATTAGAAATCTTACCTGCACTGTCATTTTTTCACATACATATCCACTACAGACAACTTACCTCTTCTTTTGATAAATGAATAGTTAATTCTCCAAGATATCAACCAACAATCTTAAAGTTGCCAACTTCCCTCACAGTACTTTATAGATGGGTTCTGACTCTTTACATACTTTATCTTAAATTCCTTCAGATAATTTAGCAAACCACTAATGCATAATGATAGTTTCATACTAATACCACAACTGAGGAAAAATATATGAGTATCTGTTTCTGAAATTATTAAATTTCTAAGTCCTTGGGTCACACCAAAACAAAATTTGCAAAAATAATGGCAGAAATTACAAGGAGGTGGCTTAGATGGAGTTATAGAGATTTACTATTTATTCCTACATGATAAACAGAAACAATAATCTTGTTTGGTTTTTCAATAATGTAGGGCCTCACTTCTGAACAGCCATTAACTTAGATAAATTTCCCATAGATGCGTCTATCTTCACGTTGAAATAGGAAAATAGTACATAAAAAGATTACAGACAAAACAAAGCTAAAGAGAAAGTCAATTTTCTTTTACTCACTCCATAATCCTCTGTATCCCATTTTTTCCCTTACCATGCCTACCATTTAGTAATCTAAATCATAGATTTTGTTTCCTTTTTAGATAATTATTATACTCTTAAAAAAATTTAGTCTGTACACTTTACAATACTACTAAATTCACAGAATTATATTCATTTACTTCATGTATTATTAGGATAAAATTTCTCTAAAGAAAATAACAATATTACTTGCTAATAAATATTAAATCTTATAATGTGTAAGGCACTGTGCTAAAGATTTTGCATTCACAATGCCATTTTTGCTCCCAATAACCCTATGAACTGGCAACTACTGTCATTCATCATCACCCTTTTAAGGATAACACAACGAAAGCTTACAGAAGTTAAGTAAATTTCCCCAGTGTGACACAGGACTCAAACATGGTTCTGTATGACTTTTAAGGCCTGAGCTCTCATTACCTTTCTATACTACTTCTCATCCACTTGACATCTTAAATCACTAAGCAGTGGAGTCAGCATTTTAGAGCCAAAAGAGTTTTTTAAAGCGCCAACTAGTTGATGGTTTTAATTTTACAGATGACAGACTTGGATCCTGAGGTGACATGCCCAAGATCACACAGACAGCGTCGGAGCTGAGACTCGTGCCCGGACCACAGAACGGCACCTGTTCTTGGGTTTGTGCTAGGAACAAACATTCCCAGACTTGTAGGGACTCGGGAGCCTCTTCTAAGCTGGGGGGGTAGCTGCAGGTGTTGCCAACACTCTCAGCTGCCTATGGCCTCATGTACAGCCCTAGGTAAGGACCAAAGGGTACATTTCTGAGAAGCCCAAATAAGTATGCATTCTGGTCTTACCCTTTCCCACCAGTTACAGCACCTGCTGGTGGTGGTAAGCCACTTGCTGGAAATAGTGAATGAGCCCATGCCTGCTTCTGACTCACTATGAGAGGGACAGACTATATCCAGCATGACATTTAGAAGAGCCAAGTGATTAACTGCATAATCCATTGCATAATTTGGCCACAGTTGGATAATATAATTATGTTTAATGCTTGTACCCCCTTTTTAAAATTACTGGTATGTAAATGGTAGAATGTGATGAGAAAAAACAAGGCTGACTGTTAAGGCAAATGAATAGAAATGGTTGACCTTTGTTTATAACTGAGAGTTTACAAATGCTTATAATTCTTTCTTCCTTATGCACAAAATAGAAATGATAGTATTTCTTTATTACTCCTATTTTCCCTCTCTGTCCTTGTGAGTTAACGAGCACTACGAGGCTGATAGCTTCTCCCTATAAAATTCTGAAAGCATTTTTTCTAAACTTTTATCTGAAAATGTTATCTATGTGAATTATGTTTATTTTTTGTTTTATGACTTTAAATTCAGACAACAGAGACAAAGTAAAGTTTAGCAGTCAGAGAACTGAACCGGGAGTCAAGAGATCTGGCTCTAAGAAGAAGCAATACTTATTGACAAAAAGACAAACCACACCTGTTCAGAGTTGCAATCCTCATACCCCACCAGAATGGTACTGAAACAGTGGCCCCCTCCCATGCAGTAAGCATTTTCCTAGAAATAGCTGTATTGTTGCATTTGTTTAATTATATAAACACCATAAAAATAATAACTGGCATAAACAGGTTTGGAAACAAACACAATCGATTTCTGGTCAGCATATAGTAAAACTGGCAATGAGCAGGTATATAAGAGAGTAACCTCTTAGTCACAAATATTCATAGTTGCCATGAACAATCACAGTATGTCTTGAAAGGGAACGAGAGAATTGATTCATATGCAAATTAGGTAGGTGGAAGTCTGTTAAGCAAACTTTTATTATATGCACTAGAAATGTAAATAATTATTAATGCCCAGGATAGTTAATATGACTTTCCTGAAGTAAATTTAACTTTCATTTGGACAAATATGGTACAATTTAATGGACATTTTGAGCAAATATAAAGAACCAGAATAAGTGTTTTGGAAGACACAAGAATGTATGAGTTGTTCCAGAACTTTTAGAGAAAGGCCAATATAAAAGTAAATATAAGCTATTGTTTTTACCCTTGATGAACTTATAATACAACATAAGAGAAAACAACAATTCATCCAAGGCAGAAAGTTCTAACAGAAGAAAGAAAGTGCCATAAGACAACAAAGGAAATGGGAATGAACTGCACCTGGAGTGCAGTTAGAGGGAGCAGAATTTGAGATGCCTTAGTTGGACCCACACTGACCCAACCAGCAGCAGATATTGACACAGGAATTGAGAACAAGCAGTTTATGTGCTAATTGGTTACTCAGCAGAGGAATGGGGGTGATAATAGAGGGAAGAAAGCCAAGAAGGAATGTCATTATTAAGCTACTACAGTGGTTCTGACGCTTAAACTTAGGAGAAAGCTCTGGGAACAGTATAAAACACACATCCAGGAATGATTCAATCAACGAGTAAAGCAGTGGTGAATTTACACCTCCACACTCCTCAGTCACTGGTTAAGGCCCGCCCCTGAAGGGATGTTCATTACTAGGTCCCTCTGGCCCACAGAAGCATAACTTCCATTCCTAGCAAATCAACTGAAGAAAAATATCAGAAATTTAGTTCTATAGCAAATATAAGTAGTCTTTGAAAATCTGCAAATATTTGCTCGACATTTACTGAGTGTCTCCTATTTGCCAAATACACATGGTATGATGATTTAAAGTAGGCAACTTCTGAGATGTCAGTTCCAAAGTATTGCCATCTCACTGCAAACAGTTTAAAGGTTACATAGCATAATGGTGTTTTCATAAGCAAAAGCAATTTAGTCTGTATTCTGTTAAATATTCTCCATTATAGGAAAGGAGGAATTTAACACTTGGCAGATATATCTAATCAATTCTAATGATTCCTGAGGAGACATGACTTTCTAGTGTTTATCTGTAATCACTCTATAAAACAAAATGTCTGGGGAGAAAAAATTTTTTAGCAATCTGAATTATAAATATATGACTATGATATCAAAATTGGAGCCATAAAAGCACTCTGGCTAGGTAATAACTTTTAATATTACTTTCATTACTTAATGCTTTACATTTCCTGTTAATCTAATCAGTTTCCACTATTAGAAAGTGCCCATTTGAGTCATCAAGAAAACAGCATTCTTCATGGAAAGATTTTATCTTTGCCTTTCCTAAATATCATTAAATATCTTTTAACTTTCAATTTCAGAACCTATCAAAAAATTATAACCACTATCCAAAGAAGGATTTAATCTGAAGAAAATTGCAAATGAATTCTAATTTAGTGCTACCTCTAAGTTAACAGATGCTCAAAATTATTACACATAGATTTTGGTGGGTACAAGTTAGTCATTCCCACTATATAAATTTACCCACACGAAAGGAAGAAACAATACAACCAAATTAAAAACAAGTAAACAACAACAACAAAAATCCAAAATATTTATATTCCCTGTTATTACTCCCTGCTGCCCAGAAGTCTGCAGTATTCTTGAGAGACTACAGAAAAGGCTAAGAACAGTGAAAACATACAGGAACTAGAGTCAGAAAAACAGAGTTCAAAAGCACTCCCCTGACACTAAGTTGCTATTAATACAAAACACACTCACTGAATGAATAAATGTATAAATGCTTATGGTCCAATTTAAAACTCCAAGATTTTGGTTATTTCTCTACTTGGCCTCTAATCAGTACTTTCTTGATTTCAAAGTCCAGCTCTGTCATTTACTGCTGTGTGACCTTGAACAATCTACTCCCTAGATTTCCCCATTTGTAAAGTGGTATTGAGATTACTTACTTTACAAGGTTACTGTGAGAAGTAAATTAGATAATACATGTCTGGCATAAACCCCTTTTAATTCCCTTTTGCCCCTTTGTTTTCCTGCACTGACTTTGTTTGTTGTAGACTATAAGCTCCCGTAGGGACAGGGACATGTCTTATTCACTTTCTGAAGCTCCCTAGCACACAATCCAGAGCTTTGCACAGAGTAGCTTTGCATTAAATAAGACAAAAGTGAACAAACATTTGCTTAAGTTAATTGTGCTTAGGCTGTGACCCTAAATGAAAATGAAGCCATGCAATGTTTTTGAGCATAAAAAAGGTATGCAAAATGGTTCAGCAATATTACATGATACATTTGTTTATGTGACAAGTGACTCTGACTCTACATAAGATTGAACTTTTTGA